GATCGGCCTGCAATTTTTCAAGTCTTTGATATCTCCTTTCTTATGAATTAACATGATGTTGGTATTCTTTCAAGATTCTGGCCCCCTTCTCATCAAGAGACACTTCTCATATAAGGTGGCCAGTTCTTCTAACTTAATTTCTCCACTATTCTTTCTGCAGGTTCGTTATTTCCTTATCGTCGACAGTGGCATTGCATCTTTGCATTCTTTCTAGAGCTTTCCTTACTTCCTCTGTTGTTACTGGTAGGATGTCAGATTCCTCTGGGCTTCTTACGATATCATGCTGGTTGTTTCGGCATTTGCACGACTTTCTGTAGAACTCCTTCACCACCTCAACTATCCTATTCATATTGGTTATGACATTGCCTTCCTTGTCTCTTAATACATACATCCTATTTTCGCCTATGCACAAGTTTGCCTTTGCCGATTTTAGGCATCTGCCTCTTTTTACAGTCTGCTCGATTCTCTCCATATTATACTTTCTAATGGTGGGTACCTTAGACCTGCTGATTATTTTCGAAAGCTCCACTATTTCTAATTTGTCAGTTGCATTTGAGGCTTTCACGGTTTGTCTTCTCCTAATAATGTTTTTCATTTCCTGGGATAGTGTTCTGCTAGTGACTGTATGTCCGACTTCTATTGCACACTTTTTGATCATGCCAGTAAGATTATCATTCCTTGTGCCTATGTTAACAATGGTCACCACGTTTAGAGCCGTGAATCTACTCTGAAGCCAACCGCTGAATTCCTGTACTTTCCCTCTCATCGCTAGCTCATTAATTGGCTTCTTGCATATCAGTTTGCACACTTTGCTTTCTTAAAATCGATGTGAATTAGAGCTCTTACCATTCTATAGTCACTTTGTAGGATCTTGCCAGCTACTTCTACATTCTGTACAATGCATGGATGTGCACACATAATGCAGTGTATTTCATTTTTAGTTTCACCATTAGGACTTTGCCACGTCCACTTACGGTTAGCCTGTTTTCTGATGAAGGTATTCAAGATCCGTAAATTATTTTCTTCTGAGAACATTTCAAATATCCCCCTCTGGCATTTCTAGAGCTGATGCAATATTCCCCCACGGCTTGGTTTCCGGCCTGTTCCTTGCCTACTTTGGCATTAAAGTCACCCGCCAGAATAGTATACTGTGTCTTTACTTTATTAATGGCTGACTCTTTCGAATGATCATCATGGCTCGATGCAGGCGCATCATCCTGTACCACTTTCATCTTGTACCTTTTGTTAAACCTTATTATGATACTTGCCACCCTCTCACTGATGCTATGGTATTCCTTTATGTTGCCAGCGATATTATTGTGTATAAAAAACCCACGCCTAGTTATTTTCTGTCAACTAATTCACTGTAGAATAGGATGTGTTCATTCTTAAGCTCTGTATAAGCTTCACTTGTCCTCCTAACTTCGCCGAGCCCTATTAGATCCCAATAACACCCTCTAATTGCTCTAATAGTACAACTAGACTAGCCTCACTAGATAGCATTTTTGCATTACATGTACCTAATTTCAGATTCCAATGGCGGCCTGTCTGGACCGAGATATTTTTAGCCCCCTCCGCTGCGTCACAGGTCTGACTACCCCCTTGGACAGTTGCTTCGCAGCCGCTGCGGACTGAGGGCCAAGGGTTAATTGGTGCAATCACGTCGGAGGTAGTGGCGAAGTACTGCACCAGGGTAGCCAGTCTTGCTTCTGTGAGGAAGTGCATCACCGGCAGGTGGTTGCCAGCGAGGCTGTGCCCCAGACCTTCCTTTTTTTCTTTATTTTAATGAGTCCTTCATCACACGTTTTAAGTAATTATACAAATGGGAATGGTCCGGCCTCAGCATTTAAACTGAATTTTGTCATTGCGTGCTAAGTTGATGTGCTATCTCCAAGTTGGGGGTTCTGTCAAAATTTAGCATGGCAGGAAAAAGTTGGGGGTTTTGTCAAAATTTAGCACAGCAGCAAAAGTTGGGAGAGAATAAACATGTGAAGTAGATCGTCATCCAGAACACTAAACAGGTATAAGCTCGCAAGATCAGAAGTTCAAAGCTGCGCCATTTTTTTTAACAAATATGTAGTTTCAAACAGAGAAGGCCAAACGAGCTACGAGTAATGTGAAGTTGAGAACTGATAGGTGGTCAGGTGTTAGTCTACAGTGCTAAGAAACTATTTTATATCTTTTTATAAAGTGTTGTGTCTTGAACGATGCCAAAGACAACATTAGGGGACGCGAAGGCGGCGTCGCCGATGTTCAACTCATCATGGGGGGTGGCAGGAGATGACCTGCAGTGCCGCCGCCGATGCACCCACAGCTGGAGACGTGTATATTGATCGCCATCTTCAACGTCAAAGAGGGGCCCCAAATCTTTTCTGTGTGCCCACCTAGCCTAGCCGTAGGGTGGCACTTGCTGGAGCTACTGCATTAATCATAATGAAAATGATGGTGAATCACTGGGAGCACAACGCCACCTCTCACTCAGTAGTAAAACACAATTGCGGCCATCCGCGAGATGTGTGTGCGCCATGACGAGCAAACATCTTTACAGGGGCTGATAGCACCACGATGTGTGGGACCAGTCATTACCTGAGTGTCGCGAAGGATATTTAATTATTACGAAGGCCATGGCACTGAGTGCACCATTGGAAAAGTTTATTTTGACCATGGCGTTTGTTTTGCAAGTGTCGATATCTATGGTGCCCCCACCTGAAGTTTTAAGTTAGTTACCCTTTGTGAAGCAGCAGCACAGCAAGCCAGCATTCCACACAAATTAGGGTTTGAGACTACCTGGCGACTTGTAAACAGACTTTTCAGCATTTTTGAAATAGTTTTGTGTGTAACTGTATTATATTGTTTAATTCTCTGAATATGTTAAATGATTGTTTATGACAGACTTATGGAAAGTTTCCTGTTAAAGAAGAGGCCATTCTGTCAAATCACCTAGATGACTTGCATAGGCAGACTTAACTCTCATGGTAAACCATGAAGTGGTTAGTGAATCAAAATTGTGCTAATTTTATTTGTAATACTTTGACACACATGCTTTAACCCCGAAGTCTATGCCTAGTTGCATTGAAGTTAGAACTACTTAGCATAATGTCATAGCACAGATTTTTTGGGATGCGCAGTGAAAATAACAAATGTTTTGCTGTCCTGTATCACGATTTTCACAGTAAATCTTCTGTTTGGACTGAAGTTTGCCTATTCTAAGCTATTCTATCGAAATTTTTACTGCTTAAATGACTTTAGGTAGTTATTGAACCTTCTACTGTGTACCTCGAAAGATTTTCATAGTGAAATCGAGGAATAATCACTAATCACCACCGTATCACTAAAAAGCTTGAACACGACAGGTACAAACTAAAAAGGCTCAGGTAGCGATGTAACAGGAGAGTCCTTGCCATAACGTCATATCACCTTGACAGCTTAAATGATAGTGTTCGTTCTTGGCGTTAATAAAGGCAAGGTGGTGGCCACCCACAAATGCACCATTATAATTTATCCCTGAATACTTTGTCATATTAGAAGAAGATCCAATTTGAAAAAAAAAAAGTTTCATCTGTAGTTTTGTGCAATAAAAATTGTTACTATATATAAATATATATATATATATATATATATATATATATATATATATATATATATATATATATATATATATATATATATAGGCTTTTATGCTGATTTCAAATGTGTAATTAGCCTTTAGTAAATTTTACAGTTCTTATTTTGTGCCATGATAATGCCACAAAACTGTGAATTCCGAATAACCTTTTATGGTTCTGAGCTATTGACGACTCATATTGGTCCACATTAACTTCGGAATGCAAGTAACTATCGAGAAAGTAGGTATAAGACATTTTAATGGGCAAGAAAAATTGTAATGTGAGAATTCTAGAATATTCAGCCCATATTAATTTTTGCTTAGGGTCCGTGATACTTATGTGACCAATATGTAGTTTTAAAAATGTACTTGCACCCTTCACATGTTGAGGAATATCTGGGCAAACTTTCATCCTGATCTGGCTATCACAAGTACTAAAAACAGGATATCTAAACTCAAGAAATTGCCAAAAAATGGATCTTGAGAAAAATATATTTTATAAGGTACAAGTGAAACCACATGTAGGCCACGAATATATGTTTTTTAGAATAATTACTTGCATCGTGAGAGCTTGGAAATCATTGTTATTTTAAATATGTGGCTTTGGTGAACTGCTCATGCGAAATGCAATGGCAAGCAGCCATGGTGGCGATTTCCAGGCGACTCTAGCATGGTTGTCAGCAGGATTTTCTTTAGAAGGGTGCAAACCAGTGTTGCATTCTGGCTGGGGGGAGGAGGAGAGCGCCGGTGTAGCTCGGTGAAGGTAAGTGTTGGTGAGGCTAAAGGGGGGGCCCCCTTTTGCATCCCCCTGCCGGCGCTTATGGATTCTAGGCAACGAGCTCTATTTAGTTTTGAGTAGCCACATGTGGCCTTTGAAAGGGATTTTAACCTGCTTTGGGGGAGTTTAATTACAAATCTTCACTTTTTTTTGTTGTAAAGGTAGAGAAAGCAAGCTTGTAAAAGCATATAAGAACAAAAAATATGTCATTTTGGAACAAATGTGTTCTTTTGATTTGTATCTCCCCTTGAGATGACTGAGCTATTTGCTAGGCGGCACATAGCAAGAAATATTACACTTCAAGCCACTTACAAGAACCATATGTAGATGTGTATGATCACACAGCTCCTTTGAGGAGCTTCGCTATAGAATGCAGGGTGGCACATGACATTCCTTATTCACATTATGGATCATTGAGTCACATTTATGCGTGATATGTTAGATGTGATTCCGTCGCAGTTCTCTTTATTTCAGTGCTGTTGGGTTATGCTGTATAAATTGATGTGCTCTTTAAGAACAGTAGCCAAAGCTAGTGGGGCTTAGTTATAGAGGGCCACATCAATGTGAAAAGCCCTGACACCCAGTTTAAAGATGTGGGAAATTTTGTTGATGATGCAGGTACCATTGGATGTACAATGCTACTGCATACAACCATGCGTATGGCGACTCTGGTCTCTTCTGCATTCATGCCAGTGCGGACCCTTCTCAGGTCAGTGTGTTGTCAGCTATACAGACTTTTTGCCATACACGTCCACTCTGCACGGGTAGTTCACCAACCTAACAGACATTTCGGAGCCTTGATGTACCTAATGGGGAAAGTAAGAACGAAATAAACTTTATACTGAGTGCACACCCAGGTATCGTGCAGGATGTGGAAGTGCTTGGCAAAGTAGGATGTAGTGACCATAGAATGGTAAAGTCTCGAATTTGCCTAAACTTGAAAAAGGAACGACAGAAACTGATATGCTAGAAGCGAATCAGTAAGCTAGCACTGAGAGGGAAAGTACAGGAATTCAGAGTCTCACTTCAGAACAGGTCATCATCATCATCATCAGCCTGACTACGTTCACTGCAGGGCAAAGGCTAGGCTGATGTTGATGATCAGGACAGGTACTCAACTCTTATCGAGGAAACCAGCCTTAGCGGTGACACAATGAATGATAATCTGACGAGAATCATTATGGAGTGTGCAGTGAAAGTTGTAGGTGCGGTACTTAGGACACTGGCAAGCTGTCCCAGGAGACAAAGAACCTCATTAAGAAGCTTCAAACGGAACTCGCAAAATAGAATTGGCAGAGTTTTGGAAGCTGATTAATAAACATAAGGTACCCAATGTAAGAAGGTATAACATGGAGAGAATTGAACACGCTTTAAAGAACGGAGGAAGCGTCAAAGCTTCCTCCGTTCTTTAACGGAAACTTGGGATAGGGAAAAATCAGACGTATGCACTAGGGTACAAGATAGGCAAAGTAACTACCAATATGGATAGATAGTTAAAATGGCGAAAGAGTTTTACAGAGATCTGTACAATAGCCGGGACAACCAAGACCCTAATATAGGAACTAGCAGTAACCCAGGTGGCATTCCACCAGTAATCACAGACGAAATCAGAAAAGCCTTGGAGGGAATGCAAAGAGGCAAAGCTTCTGGTGAGGACTAGATAACATCAGATCTGCTGAAAGATGGAGGGCAGATTGTGTTAGAAAAACTAGCCACCCTGTTTACGAAGTGTCTCCCGACAGGAAGAGTAGCAGAATCTTGAAAGAATGCTAACATAATCTTAATACATAAGAAAGGAGATGACAAGGACCTGAAGAACTAGAGGCAGCTTGCTCTCCGTCATATACAATCTATTTATGAAGATAACTTACATTAGAATTCAATCAAACAAAGGAACAAGCAGGATTTCAAACAGGCTACTCAACAATCGACCACATTCATACTATCAATCAGGTAATAGAGAAATGCTCAGAGTATAACCAACCACTATACATAGCCTTCATAGATTACGAGAAGGCGTTTGATTCAGTGGAAGTATCAGCAGTCATGCAGACACTGCGGAATCAGGGCGTCGACAATGCATATATATAAACATCCTGGAAGAAATCTACAGTGGATCGACAGCCACCATAGATCTCTATAAATAAAGTGACAGAATCCCATTAAAGAAAGGTATAATGCAGGGAAATGCGATCTCTGTAATGCTATTTGCCGCGTGCTTACAGGAGGTTTTCAGTTGCCTAGAATGTTAAGAGTTAGGGTAAGAGTTAATGGAGAGCACCTTAATAACTTGCGCTTGCGATGACACTAGCAATGTGATCACATTGTATTGCTGAGTAACTCAGGGGACGAATCGCATTTCATGATAACTGAACTAGACAAGGATAACATAAAGGTAGGTCCTAAAATTAATCTGCAGAAAACGAAAGTAATGCACAGCAACCTCTAAAGAGAACAGTTCTTCGAGATAGGTAATAGTGCACTTGAAACTGTAAAAGACTATGTCTACTTAGGACAGGTAATAACCGCAGATCCGAGCTACGAGACTGAAGTAACTAGAAGAATAAGAATGGAGTGGAGCACATTTGGCAAGCGCTCTCAAATCGTGAGAAGTAGATTGCCCCTATCCCTCAAGAGGAAGGTATATAACAGCTGCATCTTGCCAGTACTTTCCTATGGAGCAGAAACCTGGAGGCTTACAAAAAGGGTTCAGCTTAAATTGGGTACGACGCATTGAGTGATGGAAAGAAAAATGATATGTGTAACCTTAAGAGACAAGAGAGCATAGTGGGGTTAAGGATATCAGACAAGAGAGCACAAACCGGGGTTAAGGATATCATAGTTAAAACCAGGAAGAAGAAATGGACATAAGCCGGGCATGTAGCGCGTAGGCAGGATAACTGCTGGTCATTAAGGATAAGTGACTGGATTCCCAGAGAAGGCAAGCAGGTTAGAGGGAGACAGAAAGTTCAGTGGGCAGATGAGATTAAGAAGTTTACGGGTGTAAAGTGGCAGCAGCAAGCACAGGACTGAGTTGACTGGCAGAATATGAGAGAGGCCTTTGTCCTGCAGTGGAGGTAGTCAGGCTGATGTTGATCTGCCTAGTAGAGGGGTATTAAGGCACACCTGTTTTCCCCCTTTGGTAAAGAACAATAAATTACACCTTCATGAGCAAATGAGGCACATTGTAGAGTAAGACGACTAATTATGCCGAAGCAGATCCTTCTTTTTTTGTTGGTTTCTTTTCCTGGCACTGCTCGTCATTCTCGTCAACCTTTTCTGTTCCAGCATTTTATTACTTTTTGCTGCTGGAAGGAAAAAAAGAAAACATACAGTTTTTTTTTGGTCACTTGATTATGGTACATCATATATAAATTGCTATTAGAATGGGGGTGAGGGGGTAGCACTGTCGAACACATTGCAGCCAGAGAAAATATGCCTTATAATAAACAGCTAGGTTTGAAATCAGCACTGCTGTGCAAACAAAATATTATACCTTCATCTTGAGACTACTCACGTACACCAGTGCTGCTTGCTACCTGTGCCTTCACAAAGCAGCTTGCTCCACTGTAATATTGTGCGTAGGGAGAAAGACACTTGGAACAACTACATTTCACTTTTTTGTACAGCTGTGTGAATACCATATTTCGGGCACGAAGTGAATCGAATGTTTAGAAAAGACTGTTTCTAGAATATCTTTGGAATACTTCAAAGTGAAATCGCAGAATGAAAAGGTCCTAAGCTTATTTCTACGAGATGAGAGTGTCGTTAGGTTGATGAAGCACTGGTAGGGTGGTGTTGCCAATAATGAGGCAATGTAGAGGCCACGTATTTATGTACATGATTTGGTGCAACTAAAGTGTTGCCGACAATGTGTGAAAGGCCAAGATGCTATTTTCCTCGGTTTCTCCTCCTCTTTCATTTCCTATGAAAGTGAAACTGAAATGTGGTGGACAATCTGCTAGCAACAAAGGTAGGGCTGTTTTCGCATGGCGAAATCATGGCTGTTTTTGTCATGACTGTTTTTGTGGCTTGTACAGGAACATGAACCGACTAGCACAACAAAGAGTACTTTTGAACAAGGGTGTGCTCCCTTGAAGACCGGATTTCCGAATCTGCCTCCTAGATGTCAATATTCTGATTAAATTTTATGCACCAAAATAGCGGTTATTGAGTCCCCACCTTTGCATCATCTGTCGTTTTCATGTTGGAACCAACGGTTTTATTTTTGTTTTGTTTTTTTAGTCAGTACACTTGCGATCGTAGCTGAGCCTGAAAGGTAGTTCTTTCGCAATACGAGAATGTTATAAAGCGAAGTATATTGGGTGTTAACTGTTTTTTGTCAAAAAATTTGCCTATAGCTGAGCCTGCAAGGCAGCTTTGCCACAGTACAGGAATGTAACTAGGTGAAGCATAATAAAAATTTGAAGAGGCTATGTTCAATATTTTTGAATATTTGCTCATTCACAATTTTGTGACATCATTTATTATGATATTGCCACACACTTTTGCTGTTTGACTGTATTTGGTTTATGCCAAGAAAAGCTGTCAGCAATGTTCGGTGTGGATCGCGCTTCAGTGTTTGAGAAGCTTCACGATCATAGTAGATCTATTTGTTAATATTGTGCGCAAGACACGAACACTCAAGCTTGTTCCAGAGATTACGCAACTGCCACTGATAAGATTCGAAAGTTCAACGCTTCATGTATGAAAGATGGTGCAACCTAATGATAATCAGTTTATCAACAGCCGACACTCCGTTCTCTGCAAGCAGTGCCAGTGTGTATTGTTGTAATCTAGCTTTTGTTTACCGGCCACAACTTCGGCCCAATAAACAGTTTCGTCTTGCACATATCGATTGCTGCCTTCGTCAGCATCAGGACAATGCAATATCTTGTGGAGGTGCTTCTTAGTCCATGCCCTCTTCCCGCTGTGAGCCAAGCCCTAACCGTGAAGAAAACATTGACGCCAATGTCGACCAGCAAGCTAGCCACAGGCAACGAGGGCTACCTTTAGAATGCGGGCTTCTACTATGAAGATCACTACTGTAGAGACGATGGCCACCCCTGTGCCGTCTATGCCGATCATTCTAAGGCAGCCCAAAGAGCCACCAACTTTACACGGTTCAGCACTCGAAGAACCAGAAACGTGGATCGACAAATACGATCCTGTCACCACCTTTAGCAACTTAAGCACTGAGGACAAGGCTCGTCACGTCTACTTTGACGTGGAAGACTATGCACGAACCTGGTTTTAAAATCGAGAGTCCGCACTTCAAACCTTAAAAAAAATTATGGGCCATTTCTTCAAAAGGAATCATGATGGGATGTGAAGCGGCAGCGGTGCACACGCAGTTGACCCATCTGAAACGTACATCAACTCAGGGTGCTGGAAAAATGGTTTGAAGCGAAACTCAGTGTAGCCTTTACTCAAGTAAACCTTCCTTTGACACGCAAAGACAAAGGAGGTGGGTTAGGTTTCGTGTAAGTTTAATTGCAGATAAATGAGCTGAAACAGTGTTTTCACTTGACGTGCGGTTGAGCGTCGCGGGTGGTGGAGAGGGTGAAGCAAGAGAAACGTTTGTTAAGAGTGGACGTAGGAGCAACATTACCTAGGTGTGTTGGAAGAGCCGGCAGCTGCTGCAGGTGAGGGAGAAAGTGACGTCAACGTGGAGCTGCGACTTGACCTACTTGGCATCATTTCAACAAC